CACCCAAGGGGGTCTGTAGGGTACACCCAAGGGGGTCTGTAGGGTACACCCAAGGGAGTCTGTGGGGCTCCCTGTGGGGGGCTATAGGGCCAGCCCTGGGACAGCAACAGAGCTGACTCGGGGGAGCTGTAAGATCCACAGGAGGGTGACTGTAGAACCCACCATGGGGGGCTCTAGGACCTGCCAAGGAGGGTGTGATGCACTGTCCCCCCACTTCTGGTTCTGTCTCCCCTCCTCTCTCTGAGCGTAACTGGGACCCATCAGATGTGCGAAGGGGTGACACCCCCGTCACACACATCCCCACAAGGTTCAGGGATCCCTCATGTGGCCCCTGAGAGGTGACTGTGACAGCAAGTGTGTCCCCAAGGTGTGGGCTGAAGGCTGGAGGGTGCCCACAGGAACAGCCACTCCTGGGAGCTGCTCTTGCTTGGGTTACTTGTTGGCTCTCACCTTTCCCGGGTTGCGTGGGCTGAGCTGCAGTTCAGGTGGGAGTTGGAGTCCAGCTCTGAATCCCTTGCACGGGACAGGGCTTGGCCGTGTGGAGCTGGCAGGGCTTTGCTGGCAGAGCAGGGCTGGCACCTGCCTGGCACGGCAATCCCTTTCCCCCTCCTCACCTCTGCCCAGGGGTACCAGGTCCCTGTGAGACAGGCTGGTGGTGTCTGTGCCCTCAGCAGCCTCCTGGCGACGGGCACTGGAGTGTGGAGGTGCTGGAACTGGGTGCACTCGAACGTCTGCACGTGTGTGTGTGTGTGTGTGTGTGTGTGTGTGTGTGTCCTCCGCAGGCACATGCTTCCCGTGTGCCTGGAGTGCCATTAAAAATGTATTAATAGCCAAGTGTAATTAAATACAAGAAGCTGCAGGAAAATCCATCTGAAAGGGCAGATGGCAATAGGCAGGAAGCTGGGAGCTGGAGTTGTAGGGGCAGGAAATGTCTCACTCTGTGCAGTGCCCAGCACAGACCTCGGTGGTTGTGGAAGGACCCTGGTATCCAGGCTCTGCAGGCGTTGGAGGGGTCCGTGTTCAACAACAGCTTGTGTGTGTGTTTTTAATTTAAAAATAAAGGGGGGAAAAAAATCATAGGGGTTGAGGGAAAACCCTCCCGTTGCGTTTCTCTCAGCTGCTATTGCAGGAGCTGTTCGGGAGGGGACTGGAGCAGTGCGGGGTCCTCAGCTGGTTCCCATTAGCATTCCCGGTCCCTTTCCCGGTGCCCTGGAGCTGTGCCCGGTTCACACCACCTCGTTGCCTGCTGTTGGTGCACAGTTGCCTGCAGGGGCTGTACCAGGCTGTGCCAGTGGCACGGGAAAATCTCCTGGAGCTCAGGGCAGGGTGTGGAACACCGGGAGAAGGATCTGGGTGCTCGGCCTCCCCTGCCTGCCCTCTCCTTGCTGGGGGCTCCAGATTTGCCCACTTCCCAGGGCTCCTGCTCCTCATCCCTTAAGCACCTCCGTGCCGGTGAGTCAGCCCGCTGTGCTCTCAGGGAAGCACACACTCCTCCATCCCTCATCCCAAGATAAGAGCAGCAGCAGCGACCAGAGCCAAACCCCTGCAAGGACTCTGGCATGGCTGGACTTTTTCAGCCTGATTTTGGCAACAAGTTGCCCTGCTGCAGCCTGGTCCCGGGTTGGGGGTGCTGGGCCAGCCAGCATAGTGGTGCTTTGGGAATGCTGAGGGGTCTCCAGCAGGTGCAGCACCAGGTGTTGGATTTTGCTGCCTCCCTTCAGCACTTTGGCACAGGGCTCGGGTCTCACTTCGCATTTAATTGCTGCAGAGCTCCTGGTGTGGAGTCACACGCTGTCACACGCCTTTTCCTCCGTCCCTGCTGTCACACAGCTGCAGCAGGGAAGGATTTGGGCTGGTAGCAGGGTGGCTGCAGTCTGGATCCAGAAGGAATAGCACCAGGCATCTCCCAAGCAGCTGCGCTCATTCCTTGGGAGCTGGAGGAGCTGCCGCCTCCGAAGCAGGCGAGCCCCTGCCTGCAGGTTGCTGAGGAACCACGTGTGCGTCTCCAAAGTTAGTGGCCTGGAATTCAGGGGGGGATAAGGCTCAGTAATCCCGTTAAACCTGCTGGAAAGGGCTGATCGGGCCGTCGGGCAGCAAAACCAAAGCAGCACAAGGACTTTGCTGAGCATCTCGAGGTGGAGCCGCTCACCTGCGGCTGAGAGGGGACAGTTTTCTGCGTGGACGGGCCATGGCACCTCTGCTCCCTGAATTTGCAGCCTCTGGGGCCTGGCAGGACAAGGAGAGGAGGGCTGAACGCGGCACCGTGGTAGAAACACAGATTATCTGCCCTGGGAAAAGCAGCTTGAGAGGGTTCAGCCTGTCCCAGCAGCCCCCCAGGATGAGGTGGCTGCCTCGCCGTGTGCTGTGCTCCCCCCAAATCCACCTCCAGCTGTGGAGCAGGGGCCGTGAGCGCCGTCTGACTTTGGGGGTCTCATTCCAGTGCTTTGAGTTCCCCCTCGGGAGGCTGCACGGGGAGCCCTATATATAGGCACCCTATATGGGAGCGTGGGTTGCTGAGTGGGATGTCTAAAATTATCCATCCCACCCCCGGGCTCCGCGGCTGCCGGAGCACGAGCCCTCACCCCCCTCCTGCTCCGCCAGCATCACACCTGCTCCGGCTCCCCGATCCCAGAGGGAGGAAGGAATCATTCCCATGTGGAGCAGCAGCAGGCAGGGGGACCGCGTGGGGCTGAGCATGGGGGGCGATTGGGGCAGGGGTTTCCCCGTGAGGTGACGGAGACCCAAAAACCCCTCAGGGGCGCTGGAGGTGACCGAAATCCCGGCGGGATGGGGAGCAGAGCCCGGCAGCAGCCCCGGCATGTGCACGGGCAGGCGGCCAGGCCGGAGCGACGGGAGAACAAAACTCCCTTTCCATCTGCGAGGAGCCGTCAGAGCCGGTGACACGAGACGTCCCCAGCAGAGACGTCCCCGCCTATCAGCGCCCCGGCCCCGCGGGGAGGGTCGGAGGAGGGGATGGGGTGGTGGTGTTTGTTCCGGGTTGTTTTCTGCCTTACTGGGCTTTCCCCCCCCCCACCCACCTCGTTTCGTGCCAAAAGATTTACGCTGTTTTTTTGGGAGTGATTCCCGGGGCTGCTCCTGTGCCAAGAGTGCTGGTGGCACATCTGGCCTCGGCCATTCCTGAGCTGTTCCTGAGCTGCCAGGTGAAAAAAAGAGCACGATTTCCACCCAAGCCACCAGCTTGGTGCTGCTGGAGCCTTGTGCCCGTGGCCCCCTGCAGAGCACCTTTTCACCCCTGAGCCTCCAGGCCTTGCAAACTCGTGTCACCTCCCGCGGGAGCTGTGCTGCCTCACGCCTTCCTTTGCCCGCTCCTGCCGCTGCTGTGCTGCTTCTTCCCTGGGATCTGCTGGTGGGAAGGGGTTTCCCTGTTCCCAGCTGGCACGGCAGGGGTGTGCAGGTCACCCTTCTCCCCCTGCAGCTCTTCACGGATGGCATCACCAACAAGCTGGTGGCCTGTTACATGGACGAGGGGATGGCGGACGCGGTGCTGGTCCGTGTCTACGGCAGGAAGACGGAGCTGTTGGTGGACCGGGAGACGGAGCTGAGGAACTTCCAGGTGCTGCGTGCCCACGGCTGTGCCCCCGACCTGTACTGCGCCTTCCAGAACGGGCTCTGCTACCAGTTCCTGCCGGGCATCGCGCTGGGGCCCGACCACGTGCGGGACCCCCACATCTTCAGGTGGGTGGGTGGGACCCCCGTGTCCTCCTCCGGGGAGCCCCAGGATGGTGGAATCTGTGCTCCTCCAGTGCTGGCTGCTCCCTGTTGCCAGCTCTCCCCTCACTGCTGTGGCTCTGGAGCAGTGCTGGGGCGTCGCTGTGTGCGCGGGCCTGGGCGGTGCTGGGGGATAAATGGGCAGCTGGGTTTGTCACCAGACCTTTAAGGCGTCAATTTTGGCGAGTGGGGATTTCCTGGGAGCCACAGCTTGGGGCTGAGCTTGCCCTGGAAAGGTGAACGCTGCCTGAAATGGCTCCAGAGGCTGATTGCTGACGGGGACGGGGTTTCAGCTGTGCTTAACCCCGGGTTTTTAAACACTCTTTTTGGGGAATCCCCCTCAACACATCCCAAGGGTCTTTTGGGGATGTCCTGAGGGGGATTTTGAGGGGCGCTCTCCTCTTGGGAGCTGCTCAGAACCCCTCTCACCCCTCACCTGTGCTCCCCCCAGGCTGGTGGCTCAGGAGATGGCCCGAGTCCACGCCATCCACGCCAACGGGAGCCTCCCCAAGCCCATCCTCTGGCAGAAGCTGCACAAATACCTCACCCTCGTGAAGACAGAGCTCAGCCCAAAGGTATCCAACCCCAGGTAAAGGCAGAGGGATCCCAAAGAGCCAGGCTCTGGCTTGGGCACCCGCTGCCCACCAGCTCTAAGTCTGTGCAGGTAAAGCCTCTGTGGGAATCTGGGGATGGTTTTGGGGCTGGATCTGGTCACGTGGCCACTTCTGGATCACGATCCCTCCCTGAACCCCAAAAGCAGGTGGGATGGAGGCACATCCAGCACCTTCCTCCTGCCAGTCTGCAGGTGATTTTTGCCATGGTAGAGCAGAGGCAGCTCAGGGATGTGTCTGGGCAGCATCCAGGCAGGATCCAGCCAGAGCCATGGCCTCCCACCTGCTGCACTAATCCTCCTCCTCCTCCTTGGAATTTAAGCCTAGAACGAGCTGGAGCTCAGGTCGTGCTTAAGATGGGGATCTGAGCAGCAGGGGGGAGCTGGTGATGAATACTTGAAACCCAGCATAGATTAAAGCAACCAGTCCCCACCTCAAACCAGTTCATCCCATTTCTGGGAGGCTGGGTTGACCCCAGGTGAGTGTTGGGGTGTCTGGGAAGGATTCGGGCAGCCCCAAGAGGCGGAGGAGGTGAATGAACCCCAAGGCAAGCCAATCATTAACCCGCGGCAGGAGGCAGCAGGGCTTTTCTCAGCACTCCCCCCGCCGCAGGCAGACTTTACCCAAGCCCGCGCCTCCCGTGCAGCCAATTAGGCAATCATTAACGAGCTCTCTTCTTGGAACTGAGACTCCTGAGGTTACTGGGAGGCTACGTGCCCTGGCAGAGTCCAAAACATTCCCGTTGCCTCGGGGTTAGTCGGGTGTTCGAGGAGTGAGCGCTGGGGCGGTTCGGTGGCAGGTCGGGTGAATTTGGGGGATGGATGTGGTGGTTTAGGGAGAAGGGAAGGGCTGAGGCCGGCCGTGGTGTCTGCCAGGCTCCCCCGGTACCACGCAGCCTAAGCTGCCCCCTCCCCGCCAAACGCAGCCTCGTTAGCCCTCCTTTGTGCCACTGATGGGCTCGTTTACCAAACACACCAAGGGAAGCCGGGGCAACGCCGCCCCTCTGCCCCCAGCGAGGCTCCCCGAGAGCAGCAGTGACTGCACCCGTCCCCTTCCCCAGCCTCCAGCAGGACGTGCCCAGCCTGGAGACGCTGGAACAGGAGCTGGCCTGGATGAAGGAGGCGCTGTCCCAGCTGGGCTCCCCCGTGGTGCTCTGCCACAACGACCTGCTCTGCAAGAACATCATCTACGACAGGACACGAGGTCTGTGGCAGCAGCTCCGTGCTCCCAGCGAGGGGTCTGTCCCTCGCCCACCCCCCCGGGGGCTGTCACCTCCGTCCCCCCCCCTCACAGCCCCTGTCTGTGCCCCCACAGAGCAGGTTCGCTTCATAGACTACGAGTACACCGGGTACAACTACCAGGCTTTTGATATCGGGAACCACTTCAACGAGTTTGCAGGTGAGCTGGGCTCCTCTCCCTGCACCAAAAATTCTCACAGCACTGGCAGTGGCTGTCCTGGGGTCTCCCCATCCATGGGATTGGAGGAGGGAGTCGTATCCCCAGTTCCGTGGTGGGAAATGGGGCTGCCCTGGGATCTCCCCGTCCTTGTGGATAGAGGATGAAGTCATATCCCCCGTTCTGTGGTGGGAAGTGAGGTCTCCCCATCTCTGGGGGTGGAGGAGGGAGTTGTACCCCCAGTCCCATGGTGGGAAAGGGGGATGCCCATGGTTAGAGTGATATGTGAGGGGGGCGGGTGTCTCTGCTGGCACTGGGCACCTGGAATGCAATTCCTCCATGAGCCTGGCTCTTGACCATAAGTCTGGGTGGGTGCCTTGAACCAGCAGTCCATCCTTGGTCTGTGCACACCTGGGGTTTGTTCACCTGGTTGTGCATGACAAGAGCCCTGTGGCCACATCACTTGGCTGTGGAGGGTCCCTGTGACCCCCGTGCCCCCACTGACCCCCCTCCCCTCTCAGGTGTGAAGGAGGTGGATTATGGCCTCTATCCCAGCAAGGAGACCCAGCTGCAGTGGCTGCACTCCTACCTGCAGGCCTACAAACAGCTCACCCAGGGGGACCCAGGCAGCTCTGGGGTGTCCGAGGAGGAGCTGGAGACTCTCTATGTGCAAGTGAACAAGTTTTCCTTGGTGAGTGGTGGAGGTGGGAAGGAACCCAGGAACGAGGGGTGGAAATGCAGCCCGGGGGATGGGGTTTTCTCTGCTCTTGGGCTTGCAGCTTACCTGGGGAGGATGAGGGTGCAGGTACCAGCCTGGGGGTTTGAGGGCACACTGCCCCAAAGAGCAGCACCTCAGAGGCACTGAGCCCCTGGGAAAGGTCACAGACAGCATTGGCTGCCTGCAGCCCCACCGACGTGTGCCAAGGGACAACGTGCCTCTGATAGCCATGGCCTTGGACATCCCTTCAGAGAGGCCAGACATGAGGAAATCCTCTTTGGTAATTGCCATGGGCAGTCTGAGCCAATTTTCTGGATACTTAGGGCAAAATGTCATCTGGTTTCCTGGCAGGAGGGACATTCCTGCCAGTGCAGGGGCTGGTACCCTGAGCATGCTGTGTTCGGCATCCTTCCTGCTGCCATCCCTCCCTCCAGCTGGGACCAGCCTCTGGAGGGTACAGAAATACAGGTGTGGGCCAGCCCCAGCTGGCTGCCACCCCTCCTGTCATCACAGCAGTGGGAATTCTGGGGCCAGGCCAGGAGAGGCACGAGCAGAGATGCTCCATGCCCATTCCTAATCCTTGCTTTGTCTGCTGCAGGCATCCCATTTCCTCTGGGCATGCTGGGGTCTGATCCAGGCTAAATACTCTACCATAGACTTTAATTTCTTAAGGTGAGTGCACCCCATTTGCTCCCAGCACAGCTCAGTGTTCCATCTTGGCAGCCAGAGGATCCCAGTGGTCCTTCCATGCCACGGCCGAGGGACACGGGGCTGGGGGGACAAAGCCCTTCAGGTGTGTCCCTCTCTCGTCTCTTGGCAGATATGCAAAGTTAAGGTTTAAACAGTACTTCAAGATGAAACCGGTGGTCACAGCCCTGCAGGTCTCCAAATAGCCCCACTGGCTCCGAGCCCCCGAGCTCTTCCGTCCTCGCTGCGTCCACGGCCCCGCATCCCCCTCGCCCTTCCCCACCCCGCCGGGGGCGAGGGCAGGTCCTGACAGTGGGCAAGGGGGAGGAGAGGAGCTCTGACCCGGCCACCGACCAAAGGGGACCCTGGACATGCCCGAGACTGGACCATGAGATGCTGGAGAGGCCCCACGGCCCCGGAGAGGCCGCTGCCCGCACGAGGCAGCCCCACCATCGCCTTAACGCCGAGCCCCGCTCGGCCCCGTGCCTGGCAGGTCCGTGCCCTGCTGGCACTGCTGCTGCTTGGCCTGGCACCTGGTTTGCTCCCTCTGTGCTGTCCCTGAGGGGCAAAATGGGTCCCCCCTCCATCCGCTCAGGAGCCCCCAGAGCTGCCCAGTCACTTTGCTGCCCGGTGCTCACGTTGTGCCCGTCGCCTTTGCTGTGCCGTCTCTGTCCTCTTGTGCCCTGGGTGCCACTGGGGCTCTCACTCCCAAACCAGCACCTTCCCTGGGTCCATACTGATCCCAGGCATGGGACCCTTTTCCATGGGGGGTGGGAGCTGCTGTGCTCCAGCTCAGGTGGTGCAAAGGAGGAAGGGGCAGAGCCAGCCGTGAGCCACGTGGGTTTGCGGCCAGGGGGCTGCTGTGGGTGGGCCCTGGGTGTCTGCACCCCCTGTGCTGTGCTCAGTCCATGGCTGGCCCTGCCTGTCCCTGTGGCTGGCCCTGCCTGTCCCCTCGGCCATGGTCTCCCACACCCCCCTTGGCTTCATGACTTCCCCCAGAGCATCCTGTGCTTCCAGAGCAGGGGGCTCCCAGCTCTGCCTTCCCCGTCTCCCCCAGGGCTGGGGGTGTTGGTCCTGCCCCTCCACCCTCCCTGTGCTCCTCTCTGGGCTGTGGGACCCCCTGGGAGGAGTTTGGGCAGAGCTGACCTGCTCCTGGAGCCGGGCACAGCTTCCCCCCCTCAGCACTCGGCTACTCCCCCACCACAGGCTGTGTGAGGGCTGTCCTGGCCTGCTGAGCACTGTCCAGCTCATCACAGTGGTTGTGCATCACCTGGGGGTGGAATGGAATCCCTCTGCACCTGCCTTGGCTGGTGGCTGTCCCCTCCCTATGGGCACAGGAACCTCCCCCAGCAAGAACCAGGACTGTTGTTGCATCTGTGTTTGTTTCGGTGCAAAATAAAAGCTGCTGGTAGCTGAAAATTGGGGATGGTGGATCTGGGGGGGGAGTTGTGCATCCCTGGGGTTTGGGGGTGCTCCTGACCCTTCTGTAACTGGAGGTGCCCCTTGCTGGGGGACTCCCTGTTCAGCCCTCGACCCCAAACTGGTAAAGTCCAGGCCCAGATCTCTGCTCCAAAAAGTGATCTTTATTGTGCCAGGGGACTGGGGGACGATTGTAAACAGGTATGTGAAATATACAGGTTAAGTTACTCATCGTCTTATTAACAAAATAAAGCTCTATCTATATTTACAATCTTTAAAAAAAAAAAAAAATGGAAGAGACAGGAAGAGCTGCAGCTGTGGGACACATCTGCTTCCAGTCCCTCTGCAGCACAGCCCATCCCAACTTGGGAGCTGGGGCTCCTTCCCCAAGGAACCCTTCCCCAGGGACCCCAGCACAGGGAGGGGGAATAAATAAAGCACTGGCAAAGGGCAAGAGAGGAGAGGGGTGTTTGCTGGGCAGGTGAGGGTGCTCCTTGGATAAAGGATGTCCCAACAGCAGAGGAGCAGTAGTGGGGCCCTGATGCTGCAGAGTTTCTGCTCCAGACCCCCACCCTGGGGCTGGGGACAGGGGTCTGCTGCAACCCCCCCCTCTTTGCAGGGCTGGTCTCCCCCCATCTGCTGCAGCCTGGAGCCCGGGGGGACACGGCTGCTTCTGTGTCCCCAGCAGAGTCCCCGCGGTGCCAGGCTGGAGTCAGAGATGGAGACTGTTCTGGCTGTGGCCACAGGGAGGAGCACGGACCCTGTGCAGAGGGACAGTGTGAGTGTACAGGCAGACTGCACACACAGCCAGACACTGCACACACAGCCAGACACTGTGCATGCACACACGCTTGGTATGTGCAGAGGCAGACACTGCACACACACAGACTGTGCACACACACACACACAGATGCTGTATGTGCACGCCTGGACACACACCCAAACACCACGTGTGCACACCCAGACAGTGCACATGTACGTCTGGACACTGTTCATGCACACCCAGACACTGCACACACACCTGGACCCCTTGAACTCACCCCTGGGCCGCTCCCCTGCCCAGCCACCCCTCACCCCAAACACCCCCAGAATGGGCTCTGACTGGGACAAGGTAATTTTTTTATGATTATTACTTTTTTTTCTTTTTTTTTTCTATCAGCCGTTGTTTCCCCTCCCTTTGAGGTCTCACCGTGCAGGTCTCACATGAGAGGTGCCCAGGGATGGACGGGCACAGCCACCCCACAGCCAGGGCAGGGGCCAGGGGACTGGCACAGCAGGAACAGCCCCTGCTTTATTTACAAAGTGGGCCAGAGCTGTCAGGAGCACAAAGGGCTCCCAGGAGCCCTGGCTGGAGCTCCGGCCAGGCGAGGGCTAAAAATGGCTCTGTGGGAATTTGCTGGCAGGCTCAAAAGACCAAGTGGGAACCACGGTGGGGAGGTCAGGCCGGGCTGAGCGAGGGACAAGCGTGTCCCCATCCCGTGTCCCCATCCCGTGTCCACAGCCCCTGTCCCAGCAGTGGCCTGGCACCTGCTGCAGGTGAGGCTCCCTGTGAGACCACAGGCTCTGGAGGGCTGGGAGATGCTCTGGAGTTTCTCCTGCAGCCCGACACCCTCAGGTCCCCTCCGGGGGTGACAACGCAGCAGCTGTGGCACCCACATGGGCAAGCGGGGTGCCCTCAGCTCCCCATGCCACTGGGGCAAGGCCCAGCCAGCCCTCACCACCTTGCCAGTGCGACCAGCACATCCCAACCACAGCCCCACCTCTCACCACCACCCAAATTTGAGCGCCCACCTTCACGGGACCCACTTGCGGGCGGGCAGCGACGCTCCCTTCGGCCGAGCCCCATCCCAGCGGGAGACGCTGTGACCTCCTCAGTGGTGCCAGCCAGCCCTGCCACCCCCCCCGCAGCGCCCCCCGTGCCCCCCTCAGTCCGTCAGCACCACCAGCTCCCCGTCGCTCTTGTCGTCGCCCTCCGAGTCCTCCTCCTCGCTGTAGCGGTACATGTCCCCGTCGGCCACCGAGTGCCCGTCGTCCCCGCCGTCCTCGTCCTTGAGGCTGCGGGTGTTGACGATGACGGGCATGTTGGGGTCCACGCTGCGGGGCAGGTAGTGCTCCATCAGGGGGGGCGGCAGCTGGACCCCCACGGGCCGCGGGTACAGCACGTCCGAGGAGCCGGGGGGCACCTGGCTGCCCTGGGGCCTGCGGGACAGGGGGGTGCAAATCACTGACCGGGGCGTGGAGGGGTCCCATCCCTTCCCTCTGCCTCCCGGGGTACCCACCCCAGGGGTGCCAGCTGGGTGCTTACCCCCTGAGCAACAGGAGAACACCCACTCCATCAGTGCCAGGGGGGCACCCCCCCCGTGGACACACCAATGAGACCCCTGGGGGGTCTATGGGGTGCTTTACCCTATCCAGCATCCCTGCCTGGTGAGGAGTCGTTACCCTATCGCATCTCCCTGCCTGGTGAGGGGTCATTGCCTGGTGAGGGGTAAGTACCCTGTAAGTACCCCTCCCTGGTAAGGAGTTGTTACTCTTTCCAATATCCCTGCCTGGTAAGGGGTGTGTTTCCCTATAAATCTCCCTCCCTGCTGAGGGGTCCCTGCCCCATCACATAGCCCTGCCTGGTGAGGGGTCCTTACCCCACAAACCCCCCTCCCTGCTGAGGGTCCCTACCCCATCACGTAGCCCTGCCTGGCGTCCTGCCGCCGGTTCCTCATCAGCGCCTTGTACTCGCCCACGCGCAGCCGCTTCCCCTCCACGATGCAGGTCCGTTTGGGCCGGGGTTTGTACTTGTAATCGGGGTATTTCTCCAGGTGCTGCCGGCTCAGCCGCGCCTGCTCCTCGTAGTACGGCTGCTTCTCCTGGTTGGACATGGATTTCCAGCGGGAACCTGCGTGGAGGGAAGTGGGAGCGTCCTTAACGCCCTGCCCAAGGGATGGGACCCTGGCTCTCCGCTGGGATGGACCCGCCACAGCACTAATTAATTAATGCCAGTCGTTGGTACCACTCCCTGTGTGCAAACAGCACCTGGAGTTACAGCTGGTGGGAGCCTCAGGCCACAGTCAACCCTCCAGGAACACTGGAACAGGTCCCCAGCCCTGACCTTCCCCAGGGATTGATCCCCTCGGCTCAGCACCTGGGAGGCTGGAGCTGGACCAGCTTGGGAGGTGCTGCGAGAGCCGCAACATCCTTGGAGATGCTCAAGAGTCAACAGGACTTGAGCATCCTGATGGGACTTAGGAGTCCCATTGGGCTGGGGATGTCCAGGGAACCACTCCCCATCATCTAAATCTTGTGTCCATCCCCCCAGCCCCCCAGCACTCACCCAGGATCTTGCTGATGCTGGAGTTGTGCATGTCTGGGAAGGCCTGCAGGATCTTCCTCCTCTCGTCCTTCGCCCACACCATGAAGGCGTTCATGGGCCGCTTGATGTGGTTGTTGTTCCTGGACTCGGGGAAGTGCCGTGAGCCTGCGAGGGAGACCCCAGATGAGGTTGGGGCTCAGAGGAAGGAGCCTGTGTGGGGTCCCCGTGGTGCCCTCGGCCGTCCTTACCGTCCATCTCACAGGTCAGCAGCGCCTCGTCCAGCCGGTGGGCAGGGGGTTCCTCCATCCGCTCCTTCACTGGGGAGGAATCAATCCCTACGTGCTCCTGTGGGACAGCGCAGTCAGGGAGCAGCTCCCGGCCAGGGAACCTGCCCACGGACAGGCCCCAGTGACAACAGGGCTGGTCCCCCTCAGGTGACCCTCACCTTGCGGTAGGGGTTGCCCAGCGACCCCTCCATGGCTGCGCCGTGGCCGTGCAGCAGCTGCCGCGCGTCGTGGATGGCTTTGGTGATGGCATCGCCTTCGCCCAGGAACCCTGGCAGGACACCGGCATGGGCACCCATCAGCACCAGCACCCGCCCCTCCAAACTGCCCCCAGAGCACCCATCCCACCCTGGCTGTCACCGCAGTGCCCCGAGGGCTGGCACGGAGCAACCACCCAGGTCACCCCGGGGAGGAGGTGCCCCTGGGAGCAGGGGTGTCACTTGTCCCCAAAGGTGACCAGGGGAGGGCAGGGGAGCACCCATCGGTGAACCCACCCAGAGGCAGGTTGGACGGGCTGGTCTGCAGGTCCCTGGTGGCCCCGTGGCTTGGTGTGAGGGACTGGCAGCCGCCCATCTTCAAACTGGGCGAACTGGAGGCACTGGGGAGGTCGGAACCTTTGGGTTTGGCCGTCAGGTTCAGCGGCTGCGAGGTCTCCTGTGGCAGAGGAGGGGGTGGGGGGTGAAGCACAGCCCCCAAACCCCCCAGCCCAGGGTGTGGAGGTGCTCTGGGGCTGTACCTGCATCTGGAGGTGGCCCGGGCCGGCGGGTCTCTTCAGCGTGGGAGGAGGGGGGCTGTGCAGCAGCTGCACCGGGTAATCCACTGTGAGGAGCAGAGGGACAGGGTTGGGGGTGAGGGAGGTGGGCTCGGGGCCAAGGCCACCCCACAGGGCTGGGGCAGCCCCAGGGGACCCCTCTCACCTGGTTTGCAGGGGATGGGTTGGATGGGCAGTGCCAGCTGGGAGTCGGGGGTGACGGGGAGGGGCTGGTGGCTGGGGGTGAAGGCAGGAATCATCACGTAGGGCATGTTGACCTGCTGGAGGGGAGAGGAGCAGAGAGACCAGAGAACTGCTGTGGGACACTGCAGGAAGGTGACATCCCCTCACCAGGACCCAGGAGGGGACACAAGGACGTGAGGAGGCTGCAATCCTCTGGCATGGGAAGGAGGACACGGGGAAGAGGATGTGGGGAGGTGTCCCCTGCCTTTACCTGGATCTGCTGCTGTAACAGGTTGATTTTGTGCTGCTGCTGGATGAGCTGCTGCTGCTGCTTGGCGATCTGGTGGAGGGGACAGTGGGGGTCAGTGACAGCAATGGCACTGCTGAGCTGGGCTCCAGCCCAGGATGAGGCACCCATCACCACCAAAAGGGAGACAAGGGGTCTGTGGAGGGTCCAAGGGCTGTGGGGAGGGCAGGAGGAGGGGCTGAGCTGCCCCTGGGCCACCTCGAGGGGCACAGGGAGAGAAGTGGGCTGGGAGGGATGTGTCCCCCCACCCTGAGGTGTGACAGGGGTGTTCCCCTTCCCTCAGCAGTGCACAGGCCATGGGAGAAGAAAAATAGGTGTCCAAGGAGCAAAGTGGGCCCAGTCAGGAAGGAGCCAGTGTGGTTTAACTATTTTAAGGAGCACAATTCCCATCTCCTTTGACCCTTGTCCTTTGGGATGGGCACAGAAAACAGGAGGGTTTCTGGGCAGGCAGAAATCCCACTGCCCCCAAGGCCAAAACCACCCCCCAGCATTCCCAGGGGGGGTATAACAGTCCTTGTCCTGGTCCTGCACCCATGTCTGGTGGATCCCAAAGGGATCCCTGGAGGGTTGGGTGGTCCCCTGAGCCCACCTGCTCCTGCTGCTGCCTCGCCAGCTCCATCTGCTGCTGCTGCTTCTCAAAGAGCATCGTGGCCATGTTCTTCTGCTCCGAGTGGGCCGTCAGCAGCTGGTCCCGCAGCGTGGACAGCTGGTTGATCATGACAAGGAGCTGGAGCTCCTTCTCTGCCAGGCTCTCCTGGGTTCCTGGAAAAGAACAAGCAGCCGAGATTTGGGGATTACAGAGGGCAAAGGGTGTCGGCAGCACCGTTGGGTGAGAAGGGCCCCGTGTGGTTTGATTGTCTAAGGGGTGCAATTCCCATCTCCTTTCCTTGTCCTGCCAGCACCGAGGAGCAAGATGGGGAGTCTTTGGGGTGGGCACAGAAAATAGGGGGGTTTCTGGGCAGGCAGAGAAGTCCCTCTGCCCCTGATTCCACCATGGTAAGAGATGTGGCCAGGGAATGTCTTAATGAGTGAGGGACAGAAAGATCGTGTGCTGAACCACCCCCTTTGTGCTGTCAGAGGCGAGTTACCACCAGAAATGCTCACCCCAAAAATATCAAATTAAAACCGACCAAACCCACACGAAATACAGACATTTCCCCTCCTGCTAAGGTGGGAAATGCTGTGTCTCCAGTCCAGGCACGGGGAGCAGGAGGGAGGCTGGTGCAGGTGGGTGGCTGGGGACAGACCTCACCTTTCACTTCCTTGGACTCGGCGGAGTTTCGGCCCAGCAGCCTCTCCTTCCAGTCACTGGACAGCAACTTCTCGATGGTTGGCATCACTGTCAGTGTTGGCAGAGACCAGGGTTGGGGGAGCAGGGAGAGGGAGAGGAGAAGGACAACCAGATGAGCACAACCCACGGCTCCGAACGAGAGGGGGTGGTTCCTCTCACCCTGCACTTTTGGAAAAACACCAAGAAGCCCGAAGGGAGCCAGCAGGGGACCCCAAGAGGCCACTCATGAACCTTTCTTACCCTCCTTCAGGTTCCTGTTGAAGTCCAGCTTGTCCTGGCCGCTGCCGGCGGGCTCGAAGGCGGAGCGCCGGGGCTCGGGCACATCCCCGGCGGGAGAGCGGGACTCCTGTGGCACACACAGCTCACTGGGCACTGCTCCCATGGACAGGGGCAGCCCCAGCTGTCCAGGCAGGAGGTTCTGGGCTGGTGGGATGCTCAGAGCCTGCCCGGCTCGAACACACTCTACCAGGCACATTCCCCCTGCCCGGGTTGAGAGCAGCGCTGCTCTTCACACCCTAACGACTTGTTTGCTGGAGTTTTCTACAATTTATTCAGCCTGCCCAGCTCCTCTGAGCTCTTTTCCCCTCAGAAGGCACCACAGGGAGTGGGAGAGCTGAGGCTGCTGGTCAGGGGCAGGGAAAACCCGAGAGCAATGCAAAAGGGAGGCTGAAGGGATGAAGCACATCTGGAGGTGGGTGTGGGGGGCTCCACGTCAAAGGTGAAGTGCTCAAACCCCAAGGATGACCCAAGAGCACCAACAGCAGCCAGAAAAGCCTTGGGGGAGCTTCAGGTTTCAGCTTGGATTCCTCAAGGTGAGGAATAACTGCCCAGGGAAACAGCCACCCCTTCTGCCAGGGGATGGAGCCCAGCTCCAGAGCAGGGGTGGCCACAGGGCTCTGCGGGACCCCAGCCAGGACCCTGTTTGTCACAGCCATGGGACTCACCTGTGGCAGGGCCTGGGGGTCAGTGCTGTCCCTCGGTGGTGGCCCTGGGGGGTCATTGGGACGAGGCTCAGTGCTGGGAGCAGCCCCCGGAGGGGACTCGTAGCCGCCCTCCTTCTTCTCCTCCGTCTTGATGGTGCAGTTCACCATGCTGCCCGCTCCATCCAGCTCCAGGTGGGGGGAAACAGGGCTCCTCATGGACATCCTGTGGGGTGATAGGGCCATCAGCAGAGCCACAGGGCACCCCTGGACATGGACACCCCTTTCCCAGCCTGGCCCCACGCTGGGGTGCCCCACAGTGCTGCTTTTCCACCCACAGCGGTCCTGCTTTTTGCCATGGCCTGGTGGAGCTGAGCTCTTGTTCCTGAAGCTTCCCAAGCTCAGGTTTTTGCAGATTTGGGGCTCAAAACCCAGGGAATAAACCAAAGCCTTCACACTTTGGGCTGTGAAGGGAGTGGAGCAACAAATCCCTAAAGAGGAGAACCCGGAGGTCCAGGATTGAGGGATAACAGGAGCACGTGCCTTCGTGCTTCCCCCAGCAGCTGGCATGGGGCAACCCAAGGCTCACCATGACAGAGACCTGTGCCAGACCCGCTCCAGCACCCCAGGGGTGCCTGGGTTCCCCCTCCCTGGCCCAGGAGCCGTGCCTAGAAAGCCAGTGGGACAGCGGGCAGGTTTCCCGCTCCGACGGGAAATGGAAATCCTGGTCCTGCTGAACAATGGCTGGGACGGCCACCAGAGCTGCTCCTCCGGGAGTCCCCGGCACAGCACAGAGCTGGGACCAGCTGAGCCCCGGCCAGGGCAAGGGGCTGGGCCTGGGACTGCTCCCCCTGACCTCCCCAGCACGGCCGTGGGTGCCAATCCAACTCCCGGTGCTGCCGGATGGGCACCGCCCAGGTGATGGAGGGGTGTTATGGGGGGTGATGTGACACCCCAGGGGACCCCAAGCACGGCCAGAGCTGGTATTCAGTGGGATCTGGCCCAAAAACCGTGTCACAGTTCCTTGCAAAGCCCCAGCTCTCTGGACCCTCTGGGGCTGTCGGGGTGGTATCCAAGAGCGAGTGCCAGGCAGGCCGGGATCAGCCCTGTGCACGGGGCAGTGCCCACGTGAATTCGCCTTCTCGGGGCCACCAACCCTCACACCACACAGCAAGAATGGGAACAAGCACTACCCTCCCAAAGCTCGCCTTTCAGGCAGGAATAATGGGAAAAGGAGGCTGTTAAGGAAGGGATTTACATCGGCCACTGCCAGGAGCTGGGCTGTGGGACCACAGGGGCTGCCGAGGTGGGATGGGGATGGCATCCTGCCTGGGGGCTGGCACCCTAAAACCATGACCCTCTCGCCTCCCCACAACCCCCCTGGTTGATCAGGAGACCCTGAACCCAGTTTGGGGGTGCAAAGTGGGATGGAGCTGAGCCGGGCTCAGGGCAGCAATTACATAACAAACAAAGCCCAGCTCAAGCTGCGAATTAATCAAACCGCTGAAAATAAAACCTTCCTCTCAGGAACTTCAAACAAAAGAAATGAAAACAACAAGGCCGGCTGGGTAATGAAAAGCCAGGGCTGTGAATAGGGGACAAAAGGAAGTGGAACAATGGGGTGTTGGACAAAAGCAATAAAGTAAAGGGAAGTGTGACAGCTCCACAATAGGGCACTGTGCTCGCCAGCCTTTCTGATCTTAGCGGGGCTTTTTTTAATCTCAGTTCCCTTGCCCTCCGCTGAACAAACCTCCGCCGGCCCCGGGGGCTTCCTCCAGCCCGGCATGGCCCGGGGGCTGCAGCATCCTGCGGCACCGCCCGCGCCGCCCCTTCCTGCCCCCGGCCCACCTCGGACCCCAAAACCCAGCGCCCGCCCCGGCAGGGACCGGGCACGGCACGAGGTGGTGGCAGGCGGCCAAGGGGGAGCTGTGCCCAGGGTGGGATTTGTCTCAGGAGGCTGCTCTGGATGTGCTACAGGTGGGGAAAACCAGGCGTGGCTGCAGCACCTCGCCCTGGGGGGGCTTTCCTGCCTCGGACCCTCAGGTGTGAGAGCGCGGCCACTCCCTCCCTCCAGGCTTGTTGGGGGTTTTAAAGGCAAAAATCCCTGCTCACCCCATCCCTGCCCTCCCTCCCCGGGGCTGGGATGCTGCCCGAGCAAAGGGGCAGCAGCATCGGTGCCATGGCACCGAGCGATGCCTTTGGTTTGGGACAGGTACAGAGCCCCGTCCCACCCTCCAGCAGGTCACACTCCCATTGTGTTTAACCTCCCGGTGCCACTGGAAGTTTGCTCTTAAAATGGGGCCAGTGCTTTAATAGGGCCCTGTTTGAAAGAGGCCTCATTGAGGATTTATTATACGGTCTGTCGAACAGAAAAAAAAAAAGGGAAAAAGGAGAAAATGCCCCGTTATCTCGTTCCAGGCTGGTGCCTGTGCCCAGGGCTCAGGTGTGGGCTCTGGGGCTGCCTGGGGCACACAAAAGGGAGGGAACAATTGCCTTGGCACCAGGACTAAAAACAGAACATCTTCACCTTTAATGTTCCCCATTTAATGCAGGGTGGAGGGGAAGGGAGGGAATGGAATTGGGGTGTGAAGGACCAGCCTGGAGGACCCGAACAGCCCCACTCAGGAGCCAAGAGTCCTCAGGAATGGACCCACTGGGCTTCTTCCTCCCCACACAGTGCCTTGGAGGGCTGCACTGCTCGGGCACCAACGTGCCCACCTTGCCTCCAAATTCCAGCCCAGCAAATCCAAGATTTTCGGGAGGGCAACAGTCTTTCTCTCCCCATTCGTACCCCTGAACGGCACGTCCTGCAATTCTCCGGGTGGCCGAGCCACCCTTCCTGCCTGCTAGCCAGCCCTGATCCTATCGGCCCCGTTTGTGTGGAGCAGAACAGCTCCAAAGGCCAGGGGGGGAATGAGGTGCCAGCAAACCCCCACCCTGCCCAGGCACTGCAGGGCTGGGATAACTGGTTGGGGGAACTGGGCTGCCCAAATTTTGGGGATTTTTGCCCTCACCTGCCCATCAGGTTGACCAGGCTCTTGGGGTTTTTTGCTGTCCTCCCTCCCAGTTACAGCACGAAGTTCTCAGTTCGTGGGTTATGGCAACTCTTCCCTTCAGGAGCCCAGTGTGGTTCCTAACGTCATCCCAAAAAAAAAGAAACCCCACCCATCCCAGCAGCCCCTGGTCCAGGTAACCAACCCAGCCAGGGGCAAACACAGGCCAAAGGCCCGAGGAGGAAACGCCAGAGGAGCCAAGACATCAACACTGGCAGCGCTCACACATCGGCCACGTGCAGCACCCGCGGCCCCCGACCCCCGGGAGAGGGGGCAGAGGAAAAAATAAGACACACACGGGACGTTTTCTCCTTCCAAGCAGGACCCGAGGAATCCCGGCCGGCCACCGGCACAGACAATGGCCCATCTCCTGCCAGACGAACGGGGCTGCTTTCCTGCCAGACTTGGAATGTCCTTTCGGGGCCCTTTCCAAGCGTTTCCGCCCGGCGTCCCTTCGCACATAAAAGAATGGATGGTTTCCTCCCCCATCCCCGGGCAGGGATGGCCAGGGATGGCCGAGGCCACTGTCCCTGCCAGGGGGAAGTTCATGGGGCTGCCATCCCTCCCCAGGGATGCAGAGCATCCCACGATGTGGGGGGTTATTCCCTGGGAGGGTGAAGGCAGGGGGGATGTGGAATCTGTGTCATCCATCCATGGGGGACTTGGACCAGACAGTGTCAGACGCCAGGGTTGCTTCTGAAGGCGCAGGTTTTAAACCCAAAAGGCATCAGGGTGCTGAGCATTTTCAGCTCCAGCAATGCCACCACCATGTGAGAGCCACGTCTCCTCGTGTCCCGGACGGACACGTGTTCCCTGGCGGGGCCGTGTCCCCACCCTGCTGCTGCCCCACAAACCAGGGCGCTGCGGCGGAAACGCTGTGAATTTTGGGGGCCAGCACTCTCCCCGTCCCCACATGTTCACAACATCTCACCTGCCCACGGAAAGCCACAACCTCCCTCTGTCTGGAGGCTGCCGAGAGCTCAGGGGGCCGGAAAAGCTGCAAAAGCTGTGCTGAGAGGGGAGACCTTCCGTGGGCAGGAGGGGATTTTGGGGAGGGTGATGCCCCAAGGGGCAGAGGGGCAGTGGGAAGTGCCCATGTGAACTGCCTGGTGTGTCCTGCCCAGCAGTATCCAATGGATAATCACCAGAGAGACCCCAACTGCCCCTCTCCACCCTGGCGAGACCTGGGGTCCTGTGGGAAAAGCTCTGGCGTGAGCAGGGGCTGGGATTTCCCTCTGCCCACACAAAACAGACGGGGCTTTGTCCAACCTCCATCCACCAGCAGTTCCCTGAAGGAATTTCTCTCCCCCCAAAGGATAACGGCCTCCGGAAACATCTCCACGGGGTCGGGGCACAGCGGTGACACCACGGGGAGGGCACTGGCATCATGGAAACTCCCGGGAATGGTCGGCACGGGAAGGAGCAGGGGGGTCACCCCTCTGCATGTGCCACCCTGAGCACCCCACCTTCCGACCAGTCCCCTCTCCAGGGCTGTGGGATCCCCATCCTGGTGCCCCCATAGGGGGATTTCTCCCCCTCACCCCCAGAAGAGGTACCTCAGCGTCAGCACTGACACATTATGGATTTTTGGGGTGTGGGGGAGCACGAATTTTCATCAAGATGAAAAGCAGCCACACAGGTCTCCTATTGCCACACTGTGCTTGCAAGATTTAACCCTAAAGCAATGACAACCAGCATTTACTAATTCTATCCCCAAAAGCCCAACCTGCCTCCTCCAAAGGCCTCCAGGCCATACCCAGCACTGCTAATGAGATCCCTTTCTCCCTGATGCAGCCAGCAGAGAAAACTCCTGAGGTTTGGGGGGGAATCCAATCAATCCTGCTATTCAAAACTTGAGGGGAGAGGGGAAAATAACCCCGTATCAATCACTAAATTCACTTAGGTGCAAGGCAGGGAGGAAAGGAGGAATTCTCAGGCTGTAGCAGGGGGAGGAGGAGGATCTGGGTTGTTTAATGGGATTCTCCATGTCCTGCACCATGGATGCTCCATGTCCTCCATCACCTGGGGAACCCAGGAGAGCCCAGGATTCCTCAGCCTCTCCCTGTACACATTCCCCTGAACACAAGGGCTTTCCTCCACAACCCAAAATCCAGGGATGCTGCCTCCCAGCAGCCTGGCTGCGTTAGGACACGGACAAAACCCAGCCAGTGGGTTTATTATAACTATCCAAATAAAATCAAATACAAAGAGGCATCTGGATCCTTCCCTGGGTGTAAAACTGGCCCGGGGCCACCATCTTCACAGCCACAACCCAAACACATTTTTCCTTTTGCTGGGATGAGCGATAGGGAGGCTTTAAATAGGGGAGAGGGGGAAAAAAAATCCGACTGAACCTCAGGTGGAACTTCCCGGCCGCGGGATTTATTGGCCAGGGAATGATCTCATCGGGGAAGCGGAGGAAACTCCGCGGCGCTGGGATTATTTAAGAGCGTGCAAAGCCCCGGGGAAGGCGGCACAGGAACAATCCCAGGACAGCCCCCGTGCCGGCCGGGACCGCGCCGGTCATTCCCGTTTCCTGACCTCGGGACCAGACGGTCTGCAGGGCAGTTTGGGTTTGTCCTTCCACTCCACGAGGCGTATCCATGGGGAAAACACTCCCTGTGCCGCCCCCCCCGGCTCTGTGGGAGGATGGGTTTGTGTCCAGGGAGGGTCATGTGGCCGAAAGGATCTTTAGGGAAAGGGGGTGTCCAGCAGAAGGAGTGTTCCGCTGGGATTGGAGCGGCAGCGTGGGCAGGGATGAGGGGGGAGAAGTGCTGAAAGCACAAACTCCCCTTCCCAGAAAATCCCCCCCTCCCAGAAAATCCCCCTCTCCCAGAAAATCCCCCCTCCCAGAAAATCCCCTCTCCCAGAAAATCCCCTTCCTTGCAGGTCTGAACCTCCAGGGAAAAGCACAACCCCCCTCAATCTCCACATTTCCAGAGCCCTCCTTCTTCGTGCATCCCTTTTCCTCTGCCCTTCCCACCTTCCCTGCATTACAAGCCGAGGAAACGCAGAAACATCAGAGCAGATTAAGGACGGAAGATGCAGGGGCAGCCTGGCACCCTGGAAAACGGGTGTTTACTCTTTCTTTCCTTTTTTTTTTTCCTCATCAGAAACAATTTTTAAAAGAAGTTTTGGATGCAAAGATCAGCAGCAAAACCCAGCTGGCTGGTGGGCCCTGAGCCTTTGCACCCAGCCCCCGGGGAGGATGGATCAGCCCCACAGTGGGATCAGCCCCAAAGTTCCACCAGTGCCCACAGAGGGGTGGTGGACGGGCAGGGGAGCTGCCAGATCCCTGGAATCCAACAGAGATCCTTGGGATGGCTCCCAAACCCCCTCCAACCACCCCAGCACACTGCCCCCTTCCATCTCCCCACTCCCCGGTTTGCACCAATCGATCAATTCTGGGCGAGAAATTTTAAAAATCAGCAAACCCAGAGAAATAAAAGGAAGATCTTCCTGGGATGCAGGAGACCAGCAGAGCCAGGAGGAGAAGGATGGGGACAACTCACTCACCCTGGCACGGTGACCCTGGCACGGTGACCCTGGCACGGTGAGGGGTGGTGGTGGTGAGGGGTGGTGGGGAGCTCGTCTCCCTCCTTTCCTTCACGGTTCCTGCCCTCCCCTCACCCCAGAGCGGCCCTCGGGCTTATCAGGGAGGCCGATCTCAGTGTGTTTTTGTGTAATTTCACTCACTCAGCGTTTCCAGGCAGAGCGGGGGGCACGGCTGACTCGCTGCTCCGCAAACAATACTTTCCTATCGCATGACGGAGGGCGAAGACATCTGACCCTTTTCCTCTCCTGCTCAGAAAAAAAGACCAACACGGGGCTCACCCACCTCACCACGGCCTGCCCTGCACCTCCTGGCTGGGGCTGCTGGGAGGGAAGAGCTTTCCAACCCCTTTTTCCACATGCCACTCCAAGGGCATCCATAGGTGGTGTTGGGCACACACAGGACCTGCTGCTATTTCAGCCCCAGGTCCGTCCATAACCCCCCACCCCAGAGCTTCTCGTGCCATCTGACACCTTCCACAAAAGTCCTTATTCTTCCAGTCTCCCATCTATGGGGGGCAATCCCATCTTGCATTTCCCAGGAGAGCCAGGAGCACAAGTGAGCACCAAAGGATGCCCAGAGCCAGCCCCGGTGCCCCTCACAAGTGGCACCCAAAAATCATGGGGCTGTGCTTCTGCTCCACATCCCACAGACACCAGCGCCCTGGAAACCTTTGGGGTGTCTTTGTTTGAGATTCTGAGCTGCAATAACCAGATCCTTGTGCCTGAGCTGCCACATGCTGGGACATGGAGGGACATGGAGGGACAGAGGCTCCGTGGAGCCACTCGCCCCCTCAGCTGCTGCTGCCCAAATTCAAGGCCTGGGGAGCTCCAGCTGCTGGTGCTGCTTCACATTCCAGCAACAGATTTTTCTGCTGGTGTGTCAGGAGCTGCCCCACGAGGGCCTGCAGCAACCCCTGAAGGAGAAGGCAGCCTGAGGGACGGGTGCTGGAGGCCAGTGGTTGTTCATCACCTGCCCCAAACCCCCCCTGCCCCAAACCATCCCCCTGACCAAGGTAGCCCTGACTCTGCCCCGCTGGGCTTTGGCTCCCTGGAGTCAGGGCTGGATGGGGCTGGCGGAGACCACTGAGAAAAACACTTCTGGCTTGACTTCCCGCCCTCAGCCACAGTTGTTATGGTGGTGTTTTAGGGTGATTTGGGGTGCGGATTCAGATCATCCCCCCTCGGCTGAACCAGAGCATCCGGTGGCAGCGGCAGCTGAGAGCGGCATCGCCCTCGTCTCACGTTCACAAGAGAAGCTGCAGGAGGGAGCAGGAGCCGTTTTTATCATTTTTATCACTACCAGGAGAGACCCTGGGCTCTGGGGTAGGGGATCATCACCCATCCCGCTGCAGCACCCAAGGGATTCAACAGCAGCGACCTCCAAACCGAGACCATCCCGCCAGGTTGGGTTTGTACCTCATCCCTCCTCTCCTCTATGGATTTGGAGGAACTAAATCCCAAGAAATGCAGCTCCCACCCGGCTCCTTTCCCCTGGGGGAGCAGAGAGATCTGGGTACAAGGTTTTACTGACCCATAAGGGTAGTTTCTGTCGCACAACAAAAACCCCAGCACAGACAAGGAGCACCGGCAGGAAGCTGCCAGCCCTCCCCATTTGGGAGGGGGTGTCCAACAGCCCCCAGCCAGCCCGGGCCTCCCTGTGTCCCGCAGCACACAAGAGGTTCTTTGTGCCTGGTGGCACCTGTGCCATCCCCCCCTTGCTCTATCCCCATTTCCCCCAGGGTCCCTGAGCCTCCAGCGAGGGGCTTTGGCAGCTCCAGCCCCCACGTCCTGCCGTGCTCCTGGCAGGAACAGGCAGGAACAGGCAGGAACAGGCAGGAACAGGCAGCTCCCACACCCCACTGTGCTGCCCCTCACTGCTGCGGCCCTCGGGCACCACGGGGACAACAAAAGGCACCAGAGGCATTTCATGCCACCCTGGCGAGGTCACATGTGGCTGCTGGAGCTGTGCAGATGGCACTGGGAGCCCGTGGGGAGGGGGTCAGCCCCGTTTTGCCCCCCTAAATGAAGGGAGGAGGAGGCCATGAGGGGCTGTGGTTTGCATCCCGATGTGCCACGGGTACAGCTGGCTCTGAGCACTCCCAGGACCCCTGGTGCCTGTTCCCCTGGTGCCCAGCCCCCAGGACCAGCTTGAAAACACACACACACACAAACCTCACACAGAAAATGTGTGTTCCCCAACCCAGCCCCCAGGACGGACCTGAGGACCCAAGGAAATGTAGCAGGAAGGACCAGGCAAGGGAGCCCAGAGGCCCGTGCTGCACTTGGGAACCCAAATCCGAGCCCAAGAGCCTCCAAGGAAAGTAAATTCTGCTCTGCCCTGCCCAGTCTGCACAGGTACAGATGGGTCCTCCAGCTTCCACTGCGCAACACTGGGGATCTGCCCCGAAATAACCCATCCCTAAAATCCACATGTCACAAGAAAAACGAGCAGGAAAGGGTCTCCCTGTGGGGAATTCACTGGGAGAGCTTCCCACGGGCAGCAGCCCCCACACAGGGCCACTCAGCACAGCTTGGCTAGGGAGAGCCTGCTGTACTCGCCCATCCTTGCCAGCCCTGCCCGTCCCTGCCTGTCCCTGCCCATAAATCCCCTCCTGCAGCCAGGCACGCTCCCGTGCAAGCCTCTGCCCCAGGGGACCCGCTTTCCGCTGGGCGTGAAATGAGAACAATAGGGCCAAGCCCTCCATTGTTCCAGACAAAAGATAAGCCTGGGCTCTGGCATTCCCCTGGCTCTGGCATTCCCCTACGCCCTGCCCTCGTGGGCAGGCAGCAGGCAGGGCTGCCACCCTGGGCCGGGGCAGAGGGTTTTCTAAACCCTTCCCACATCAGCTCACCACTCAGCAGGTGACCCAGAGGGGCTGCTGGGGGGGGAATGACCTTCCTGCCCTCCTCGGGGCTCCTACTCTCCTCACACCCCTCACCTCCCTGGGTGGTCCCCAATTCCTGCTGCCCCTTGTCCCCACTGTGGGCACACCAGGGGTGACCTGTGCCAGCCCCTCTACAGACCTCGGCCCATCCTCTCCCCACCCTGAGCTTCTCCTCCCTGCATCCAGCAGGGACACAGTGGGGACAAAGCAGCCTGGGGTGGTGGCAGGAGGGACAGGGGGTGGCCAGCACTGGGGACTGGCTCCCTGGTGGCCCCTCCAGCCAACGTGGGGAGCAGAGCAGAGGTGGGAGCCCAGGGCTCACTCAACCCACACTGTCACCCCGCTCAGCTTTTTAACCAAGTGGTTTCTCCAGGCTCTGACCGAGGCTGCAAACTGGACCCAGAACACCCAGTCAGAACAAGGGAGGAGGACTACAGGGGATGAAGGCTGCTCACTACAAACCCACAGCCAGACAGACACCTGTGACACGGTGACGGTGACAGCGCCGAGGGGACTGTTGTGCCACATGTGCCAGGAAACGTCTCACCTCGGCTGGGAAATGCTCCTGCTCCGTCCCTGCTGTCCCAGCACCACGTCACCTGCCTGTGCTCAGCCCTTCCAGCCCCACTGAACAGCACAGGTTGACTTTCATGCCCAAAGAGCTCTAGTTTTGGGTGGCAGCCTTGGGGCAGCCACAGCCCCGGCACCACGGCGGCAACACCGCCATGAATTTCCACCCACCAACTTCAACACCTTCTCCTCCTTCTCCCGCGAGTCTCCAGCTCCTGATAACCCCATTTTGTACAGGCAAAGAGGGTCAAATGCCCCGCTGGGCTCGCTGCTGCCTCGTGCTCCTTCGATTCTCTTCGCTATATTTAATTTATACCTTTATCCTCTTTCCACCCAGGGACGAACGGCCACGAGGTGCCTTCACCAGGCAGGAGTAAAATAACAATAACTGGGGCCAGCAGGTTTTGGCCAGGGCTGGTGGGAGCTCTCAGGGGTCTTCAGGTGACTTTAATGATGAGCCAAATTATCTTGTCCCTCTCTCATGAGGGACCCGGGGTAGGTGGCAGGAGGCTGCCTTGCCACCCGCCTGCATCTTTTATAACAGTCACATGCCTGGAGCAGTCCTGGCTGCTAATGGAGCATTAAATTATGGAGAGTCAGAATTTCAAATATTTCAGACCCATCTCCTGATTTATATTCTTTGGCTGAAGGGCTGCGGGACAGGAGGCAGGGACAGGAGCTTCCCTCCAGTGCAGTGCTCACAGGAGAGGCTTTTCCCTCGGAAAACAACAGATTTGAGCTCAAAGCAGCTGCTGAGACATTTGGGGTGCAGGGGGCTGGTGGGGTGTTCGGGGGTGAAGGGGCTGAGGCTGTTTCAGCAGAGCCCTTGTTCAGGGCTGGAGCAGTTCCAGCTCGTGACATGTGGTCCTGGAGCAGGTGGACACGGAGTGGGAGGGAGGGAGGGAAGGCAGGAGGGCTTCCAAGCAGCAGAAAATTTTCCAAAAGTTGATGCCTTGGACGCTGCCAAGTTTCCTCGTGCCAGAGGAGCCCACGCACTTCTCAGCCCAGCACCAGCAGCACCCAGCCAGGGGGAGCTCCCAGGGCATGGCTGATCTACCCCAGGGAGCACATTCCACTCCTGAAGTTACTCCCCAAAAGGCACAGGATGGGGTAAAGGCACAGGCACATTTTCCAGCAGGACTGTCACAAGCTGCACTAATTTATTTCCCTTCTGCGTGTTCTCTACTGGGTTAAAATGGGGTGGAAATTAATGATGCATCATACAAAACTTCACAGTGGCCCAAATCTTCCTCCCTGCAGTGCAATGAAACCAAAAACGCCACGAAGTTTGTGAGAAATAAAGCAGCAGAGCCCAGGAGAGCCCAGCCCTGGCTGGTCAGGGGTGGCCGTGATGCTGCAGGGGACCCCCAGCCGGGGAACGCCCGACCCAGGGGCTCTTTCTGGGCTCTCCCTCCTGCTGAGCCCAGCTCTTCCATCAGCCCTGATCCCCCCAGCTCCTCCATCAGCCCTGATCCCCCCAGCTCCTCCATCAGCTCTGATCCCCCCAGCCCCTCTGGAGCACCACAGCTTTTCCATCAGCCCCCAGCCCAGCTCTTCCATCATCCCCGAGCTCCTCCATCATCAGCCCTTATCCACTCAGCTCTTCCATCATCACCCCTGAGCCCCCCAGCTCCTCCTGAGCCCCCCAGCTCCCTCTGAGCCCCACAGCTCCTCCTGAGCCCCCTCAGCTCCTCCATCAACCCCATGTCCTCCGCCAGCCCCGCTGCCAGACCCAGCCGCCCTCAGACTCACGAAAAGAAGCTGCTCTGACCCCCCACTCTTTTCCAACCAAGGGAAAATGAGGTTGGTGGCCTTGGCAGTGCTGGGTTAGTGATGATCTCCAAGGCCTTTTCCAGCCTAAGTGACTCTGTGATTCAGTGAAATGAAAATCTCTCATCCCTGGTCCTGCTCCGCGGCCGCGGGAGAGAACAAAAGAGGGCAGCCGGCTCCTCCACGGCATCACGGGCTCTAGGTAGCGACTGCCCTGCCTGTGAGGGGATTGTTTTGTTCCAATAAAGGTATTTATTTAGGGAAATGGGCAGAGTGCATTTTGCTGGCACGGCTGGGAACTCGCAGGGTGTAAAAGCCGAGCGGCCCCGGCAGCGACAGCGCGTCCCCACGACCGCCCGCGGCGGCGCTGAGAGGTGGGCACTGGGCAAGAAAAGCTTTTTTGGATTTCTGCAATTCCACGTGCACACACAAAGCCAGGCCGGCACAAAACGCTCCCGAGGTGTTTACAATGGGATAAAGCTGGAGCAAGCAGGAACACGGCTCCGGACAAAGCGGGGCCCACCCGCTCGTGCGGCAAGAGGCCGCGGGCCGTGGGCTTACAGGCTCTGCCCACCCCGAGGGTCCACGACCCCCCAGATCCACTGGGTTAAGGGTGAGAGACCCCCAAAAAGCCGAGCTGCTGTGACACCAGCACCACAGCAACACCCATCCAAGTTTGTTTGGGCTGTTTGTTTGTTTGCCCGAGGGATCCCTGAGGATTCCTGAGCATCCTCCGAGCACGTGGAGGGCTGGGACAGCAGTGGGGACCCAGCTTGCCCAGTATCCCACTGTATCCCACAGGGATTCACTCTGCCACCTCATCTGCTCACCAGCAAACTTCCAGTTCCTGCAGCAGCAGCCCCTGTGGCCCCAGGGGTGCTCTCTCTGCTCAGGGACACTGCTCTGACCCCCACCCCAGTGCTGGTGGCACTCACCAACCCCCAGAGCAGCAGGGATGGACCCCCCCACCATGTCTCCCCAGAACACTCACCTGGGGGGTGCAAAACACACCTCTGGCAGCTCCCAGAGCCCCCCTTCACCCCGACCTGCTCACAGGTTCCTAACAACTGCTTGGCCCCAGCGAGTCTCAGTTCCAGGCGGGCTCAGGAGACCCCACCAAGCACCAAATACAAAAATAAACCCACTGAAAGAGTAGATTTACTGTGCTCCCCTGCACGGAGAGACAAACCCTTCCTCTGCAGCCCATCAACGAAATTAAACCCCCTGCAGCACATAACAAGTTTACGAGCTGCTCCATCTCCCCCGTCCCGACGTGCCAGGGCACAGCTCCCCCGGCACCCCCGCGGAAAATGGACATCGCGGCAGGGAGACAAAAAGTCCAGCTATTCCCCCCAGGACATGTCACACCCCGCCTGGAACAAACTTCGCTGCAAGAGGGATTTCGGCGGGGTGGGGCGGCTTGGGCGCTCTGGTTTGGCTGGGGTAAAAAAAAAAGCACCGCAGGAGGAGCTGAGCTGCCTGATGGCACCAGGAGAGGGAAACGGATTTTTGAAAAATCTGGGGTCTCTGCTCCTACCTATTTGTCTGCTCCGAAGGGATTTTGTGAGGTTGACAGCTCAGATGCCAAGGGCAGCTGCTCTGCCACGGGAGGGAAACAAATAACCAGCACGGAGGGAGATGCTGGTGAAAATGTGTCACTTGCAAATGATTTAGAAAAACTGTCTTTAGCCTGCCCACGTTTGTCAAAGGACAGCTGCTATTTTTAACACAAAGCCTCTGAAATCGCAGGCTTTCAAAAAGAAGAGAGAAAAAGTACTGTATCAGTGTCAACAGAAGGGATTCTGCGTAAAATTAAATTGAACTAAAAGGAAATTGCATGAATTACAAACAGGAGTTATTGGCTCAATAGGAGAGTAACGGAGGGACATTATCTGCTCTGTGCTATGGAGAAAATCACATTAGCTGAGCTAATGGTCCTTTTTCACTCCTAAAATCTATTACTCCAGATTTGCTTTGGAAGTCAAGTGTTTTCTGTGCTGAAGGTACTTCACAAGATGTAACTGAGACTCGAACAATACACGGCCACGGTCTGCAATTTTTCCTGGGCAGCATCATCCCTCCCTGGCACCAAAACCCTGGAAATCATTAGGCAGAGGTGGAAAGAAGCAAAGCTTTGTGTTTATTTGCGCATTTCGCACTAAACCCTCTCCTTTACGGCTCCCTGGGCGACGCAGCTCCTGGTTTTCTCTTCCGCCACTAACTTTGGTGTTGGACTGCGGAGGTCCCCGATGAGGTCTCCCAGCTGCTCCCTGAGTTGAGGTTTATACTGAAACCCCCCAAACCCCTCCATACCTGCACCCACAGCCCCGCCAGCCACCCCAGGACCCCTCGGCACAAGTCCCGCTGCCGGGAGGGCTCCGCTGGGCAGCAGCTTCGCCCCCCCCCCCCCCCGAGACCCCCAACCCGCCCCGGCCGGGTGGGACACGCGGCTCGGAGGACCCGCCATGGCTGATGGGGAAGTGGCGACAGCGGTGACAAGGTTCATCCCCGCTCCCAGCCCCTCTCTCCGGCCGTGCGCTGTCGCGACGCTGTGGCTGCGGTTTGTTAGAACAACCTCAGTCGCTCTCGGACCAGCAAAACATCCGTGAGCGGCACAGACCAAGTTTTCCTGGCCGGATCCCGGCTCTGCAGGGCCGGCTGGAGCCACCCTGAACCCCCACAGGGACCCTCCGTCCCCGCCGGGCGCACCCGGGGGAGGCGGTGGGAGATGCCCGGCGGGGCACGAGGGTGTCCTCGGTCCCGCGGGGGGACAGAGGGACGGGGATGAGGGACAGGCGTCAGGGATGGGGATGAGGAACGCGACAAGGGATGGGGACGAGGTACAGAGACCCCGACCCCGGGCCATGCCCCCCGCCTGCCGGCGCAAACGTCCCCCAGCCCCGCGGACGCGCGCGTGTGCGCGGCCCCGCGCCCGCCCTGTCTGTGCCAGCGCCGCGCGTCCGTCTGTCCGTGCACACCGCGCTGTGACCCCCCAAAACCGCGTCGGGGGGGGGGGCGCCCCCCGTGCGCCCCCCGCCGCCCCCGGCCCAGAGCACCCAGAAGGGGACGGGTCCCACCCGGAGCCGCGGTCACCAGTGGGACGGGGCGAGAAACCTCCCTGAGGGGTGGAACGGGGGTCCCGGGGGGTGCCTGTGGATTAACCTCTTTCCTGCCGCGCTCCCCTCGCCCCACACGGGGCTCTCGCAGGAGAGTTTGCAGCCCCCGAACTTTGCAGCGGGGACGGGGCTGTGCGGGGGACGGACCCTGCGCCCCCGCTTCCCCTTTTTCCTTCTCCCGTTCAAGAAAAGGGGTTTTTTTGGGGGGAGGGGGAGGGGGCTTCTCCCAGGCGATCCCCCCCAGCCCCGCTCAGCCCAGCCGGGGTCGAGGACCGCGACCCCGGAGGATGCTCGTCACCCCGGGGCCGTGTCGGTGCTCCCCGGCCGTGCCCCCGGCCACACTCACGGCTCCGCCGGCGCTGCCGCGCTGTGCCCGGTCCCGCCGCCGCCCGTGCTGCCCGTGCTGCCGCCGGTGCCGGTGCTGCCGCCGGTGCCGGTGCCGGTGGGGGCTCCGCCACCGCCTCTCCCGGCTCAGGTCCGCCCCATGTCCCCAGCGCCTCCGGTGGGAGCTGCCCCGGCGCCGGGCGGAGAGAGGGAGCGAGGAGCAGGAGGAGGAGGAGAAGGAGGAGGAGGAGGGGAAGGGGAGGAGGAGGAGGGACAGCGGTCCAGCCAGCCAGCAGCCGGCTCCGGGGCGGCCCCTCTGCCCCGTCCCCTCCCCTCGGGACCCCCTGCCCCGCCGGGGGACCCACGTGTGACACCGCCGGGAGCCCCGCGCTGCTCCCATGCTCTGCCCTGGAGTCCTGCGGAGGGGCTGAGACCCCCGCAAAACTGAGACCCCCGCAAAACTGAGTCCTGTGAGACACCGTGAGACCCCCCAGTGCCCCAGTCCGAGCAGGGAACGATCCCCCCCCAGCTCCCAGCCAGGGATGGAGCAGTGCCTGGCTTGCAAAGACAACAGTCCACAGCCCCGGGGAGGTCCCAAAACCCCAACATGCCAAGAGACAGACCCCAAAGCCCGGCCTCCAGCAGCTCCTTCCCACATCACCCCAAGCTTTTGCTTGGTTCATCCCCCCAGCCCCTTTCCCTGCTCCAGGATCTCAGGAGCTCCTGGTGAGCCCTGACCGAGCCCTCACCCTTGACCGCCCAGCTGGGCCATGAAACACTCCCCGACCATACCTGGAGCCCTTGCGTGGTGAGGGTGGGAACAATTGGAAACATCACCTGCCCAGCCAAGGTGGGAAACAAAGGATGAGCAATTTTCCTCCGTGGCCTTGGCAAACCCTCTCCCTGGATCAGGGCCCAAGCAGAGCAGCACCATTGTGAGCTGGAGCCCGAGTGGAACGGTACCATTGTCACTGCACTTTGGGAATCCTTCCCAGCCCAATGGTCACCAGCTTGGGTTATGGCCAGGATGGAAACTTCCTGATGCCCCGAATCAATGATCTCACAGCCCCACGAACAGCAGTGCGGGGTGAGGCCCTCCAAGCTCACCCGTGCCCAGCAGCTGCAGCAGCACCTCGGAGCCTCCCGGACCCTCAGGTCTGTGATACTCAAAGGACCATTGCTGGTAGTACCCCCACCACATCCCCAGGCTCCTCGAGGTGCAGCCTTTACCTGTTGGGAAGCCAGGGATTTGATGAAGGGAATTTTGGAGAGGTGCCTTTACACACCTAGAAAGAGGTGTGCACGTGTTTCACCCACGTGTGTGCGAACTGAGGGTGGTGTGTCAACATCACCACCTCAAATCTATCACTAAATCATCCTTAAAGTTGGACTGAACGCCACCAAACCACTTTGCCCCCCCTGGTAGGGCTTTTGCTGCCCTGGCCTGCTCAGGAGCTCACCCTGTGCCCCACATCCAGCACCCCACACTCCTCATCCCATCGGTGGCTCCACTGGGAATGCCATCACCCACCTTCCCAAGGGAAAAAATGCCTCAGTCTGATCCAACCGGTGCAGCTGGAGCGAGAGGGGGTGGGCTGGGCAGATGAATGTTGACAAACAGTCTTTTTTCTGCAATGAAGTCTCTGAAATGTTATGTCAACATGGAAGGACTGTTTATGTTTCACCAACCGGGAAAGTTCCCATTGACTCGGAGCTGTTTCCTCCCCCACACCGTTATTTTCTTCCCTGGGAATTTCTTTTCTCCAAACATTGTTTTCACCCAGGAGAAAGAGAAGAGAAGAGATGGAGCTCCTGGGACTCACAGCTCCCCCACACCACACACTGCCATGGGTGTTCTGGGGGCGTTTGGGCACCCCCACCCCACAGCCACCCCGACACAGCCTCCCCTCACCCCATTCCCATCACAGGGGCAGGAGCAGAGCTGGGCAGAGCCAGTCAAAAAGGGACCTGGAAGAGTTTCCCAGCTGGAATCTTCACCCAGAGGATTAAACATGAAAGATGCCGAGTGGGCTGCACCCCCAGACCCCAAAAGCAAAAGGAGCTCAGTGATACACGTTCCCACTTCACAGATGGAGAGACTGAGGTCCAGAGAGGACACAGCATTCCTGGGGTCATACAGCAAGTACCAAACATGCAGCAGGGCAGGACACAAAGGCAGCTCCTCCACAACCCCCCTGAACCCCCTCCCCAGCTGGGGGGACTGGTTCTCCCAGTGCCACCCCTTGCACGGGCAGTGCAGGCAGCCTCGTGTGCTCCCAGAGCCACCAGTCCCTCTCTGTCACCCCTGACTTGGGACAACACCCCGAGAGGTCACAGAGGGAGATGGTTATTGGGGGCCAAGCGACCTCCATGTGCCCCCCGGGCTCCTGCTGCCCTGGCAAGGCCCCGGAGCTGCTCCAGGGGCAGGAGGAGGTGGGAGGAGCAACCCCCAAACTGGACAGGGAAACAATTAACAAAGGGGCCGAGGACCTGCCCAAGTGAGCCAAAAAAAGAGGGAACGGGAGCTTTGTTCGGGTCGTCATGGCAACAGCCAGGCCGGAGCAGCAGCCACGGACTTTCACTTTCCTTTCCTTCCTCCCTTGGCCCCAGTGTCCCCAGTGGCCGTGGTGGCCTCACTGCCTGGCAGGTCCCCCCACGAGCCACCAGCACTACGGGTCTGGCATCACCTCCCAGTGCCAGGAGGTGGCAGCCCAACTGTCCATCCCCAGGTGTCACCATCCCTGATCCACGAGTCCTGTCCCCATCCTGGCTCTGCTCCTCTCCATGTCCTCCTTCGAGCCACCCCAACTCCATCCACAGCTCCTTCTCTCCACCTCCCTGCAAAGAAGCCCAGGACCCAGAGAGCAGTCCCAGGATGTGCAGGGCATTCCCAGGATGTGCAGGGCATCCCTGGGATGTGCAGGGCATTCCCAGGATGTGCAGAGCATCCCTGGGATGTGCAGGGCATCCCCAGGCCCTGCTGGACATCTTCAGGCCCTGCTGGGCATCTTCAGGACCTGCTGGGCATCCCCAGGACCAGGGGCACAAGGTGCCAGGATGGAGATGATGGCACAGAGACAGTCCCTGTCCTTCCCCATGGGGTCACACGGGACCTGCTCGGCTCCTGCTCCGTCTCTCCCCACCTGGCCA